GATAGAAAAAGAGGAAGAAGAATGAGTTCTAGTGCTGGAGAACAGTATTGACTATACCATTGACTGCTCCTGGAGAGGATGAAGCCAGGCTCTCCTTGGAGGCAAGCATTTTGAAGTCTGACATGCTTTGGGCATGTTACAAGGAAGGACAGACGTAATGCTTGGAAGGGACGAGTGACAGTGCAAAAGACGAAGACCCTGGATGAGATGAATTGAATCAATAACTGGGATAATGGGGAAATAGGTGTGTCAGAGAAAGCGAGACTGGCTCAAAATTGAGCAGGGTTCAGAGCTGTTTGTACGTAGGATGGCTACGAATCCCAAGCGATTCGATGGCACAGAACAGTTCAAGTTCAAGGGGCTGTCCAGAATGTCATGGCCACGAGGGGGCGCCTCCGCATCCTCGTGGAATCAGCCCCGCCTCCCTCACGCGGCGGCTTCGAGCTCCGAAGCGAAAGTGCGCGTGCGCAGCGGGCGTCCCTGTTGGGTAGCGGTCCTGGCCGGTGTGTTAGGTCCAGCTTCGGTGCGGTGGCCTCTGGGCCTGCGGCTGTCCGGATGCCCCTCGCCGGACAGGGAGACCAGTGCGGGTTTCAGGGGACAAGATCTGTTGTCTGATGTAGTCCCGGCCTCGCTGGCAGGTCCCGAGGACATCCCCCCCAACTCCAAGCTGGACTCCGCCCAGAGCCTCACCCCCCCTGCGCCATTGCCGGTTTCCGCTGCCTGGGACGCGGCTGCACGAGTGACTGACAGTCTGTCCAGTCCCGCGCCCACCGGCCTGTCCCGCGCCCACCAGCTCCGCGGCTTCTCTCCAGGTAGGTGGGGTGGTCGGTTGTTGTCAAGTGCGGTGGAATCAGTCCTTGCTCACAGCGATCGATCCTATTTACAACAGAAGGAAACCTGACCGGTCCTGTGCCCACCTCACACTCCCCGCTGTGTTTAAACCCATTATTGCCGCAGCTAAGTCAGTCCAGCCCCTCGTCGCTCACCCTTGGCCAAGCATAGTGTCCTTTTGCAGGCGCTGTCCTCTCCTGGTCTCGAGTGGTCCAAAGTCTGCGAGAAGTGGTTGCCAATAGCGAATTGGAGGTGCTGCCCCTTTCTTTTTTTAATTAATTTTAATGAAAGTTTACAGAGACTTTGGATTTCCTTGCATTCATTGTTGTACTTTTCTCCTTGCCCAACCACCCCCAGTTTGTTCTTCTCTTTGAAAAGTAAAAGTCTTTCATTGTTATACAATCCCTCCCCCCAAGTCCACTCCACTATTCTGCCTTTATTCTGGACTCTTACCATGTTAATAATTCCTAATCATATATCCCTTTTAGACAGTTTTCTCCCTCATCTGTTTCAATGCAGTATACATTATTTTTTTATTAATTTTAA